TATACAGCGTCAGGATATGGAGTGTGTGTATACAGCGTCAGCATATGGAGTGTGTGTATACAGCGTTTGTATATGGAGTGTGTGTATACAGCGTTTGTATATGGAGTGTGAGTATACAGCGTCAGCATATGGAGTGTGTGTATACAGCGTTTGTATATGGAGTGTGTGTATACAGCGTCAGCATATGGAGTGTGTGTATACAGCGTTTTTATATGGAGTGTGTGTATGCAGCGTTTGTATATGGAGTGTGTGTATACAGCGTCAGCATATGGAGTGTGTGTATACAGCGTTTGTATATGGAGTGTGTGTATACAGCGTCAGCTTATGAGTGTCTGTATACAGCGTTTTTATATGGAGTGTGTGTATACAGGGTTTGTATATGGAGTGTGTGAATACAGCATCAGCATATGGAGTGTGTGTATACAGCGTTTGTATATGGAGTGTGTGTATAAAGCGTTTGTATATGGAGTGTGTGTATACAGCGTCAGCATATGGAGTGTGTGTATACAGCGTTTGTATATGGAGCGTGTGTATACAGCGTTTTTATATGGAGTGAATGTATACAGCGTCAGTATATGGAGTGTGTGTATACAGCGTCAGCATATGGAGTGTGTGTATACAGCGTCAGCATATGGAGTGTGTGTATACAGCGTTTGTATATGGAGTGTGCGTATACAGCGTTTGTATTTGGAGTGTGTGTATACAGCGTTTGTATATGAAGTGTGTGTATACAGCGTTTGCATATGAAGTGTGTGTATACAGCGTTTGTATATGGAGTGTGTGTATACAGCGTCAGCATATGTAGTGTGTGTATACAGCGTTTGTATATGGAGTGTGTGTATACAGCGTTTGGATATGGAGTGTGTGTATACAGCGTTTGTATATGGAGTGTGTGTATACAGCGTTTGTATATGGAGTGTGTGTATACAGCGTTTGCATATGGAGTGTGTGTATACAGCGTCAGCATATGGAGTGTGTGTATACAGCGTTTGTATATGGAGTGTGTGTATACAGCGTTTGGATATGGAGTGTGTGTATACAGCGTTTGTATATGGAGTGTGTGTATACAGCGTTTGTATATGGAGTGTGTGTATACAGCGTCAGCATATGGAATGTGTGTATACAGCGTCAGCAAATGGAGTGTGTGTATACAGCGTCAGTATATGGAGCGTGTGTATAAAGCGTCAGCATATGGAGTGTGTGTATACAGCGTTTGCATATGGAGTGTGTGTATATAGGGTTTGTATATGGAGCGTGTGTATACAGCGTCAGCATATGGAGTGTGTGTATACAGCGTCAGTATATGGAGCGTGTGTATACAGCGTTTGTATATGGAGTGTGTGTATACAGCGTTTGTATATAGAGTGTGCGTATACAGCGTCAGCATATGGAGTGTGTGTATACAGCGTCAGCATATGGAGCGTGTGCATACAGCGTCAGCATATGGAGTGTGTGTATACAGCGTCAGTATATGGAGTGTGTGTATACAGCGTCAGCATATGGAGTGCGTGTATACAGCGTTTGTATATGGAGTGTGTGTATACAGCGTTTGTATATGGAGTGTGTGTATACAGCGTTTGTGTTTGGAGTGTGTGTATACAGCGTCAGCATATGGAGTGTGTGTATACAACGTCAGCATATGGAGTGTGTGTATACAGCGTTTGTATATGGAGTGTGTGTATACAGCGTTTGTATTTGGAGTGTGTGTATACAGCGTCAGTATATGGAGTGTGTGTATACAGCGTCAGCATATGGAGTGTGTGTATACAGCGTCAGGAAATGGAGTGTGTGTATACAGCGTTTGTATATGGAGTGTGTGTATACAGCGTAAGCAAATGGAGTGTGTGTATACAGCGTCAGCATATGGAGTGTGTGTATACAGCGTTTGTATATGGAGTTTGTGTATACAGCGTTTGTATATGGAGTGTGTGTATACAGCGTTTGTATATGGAGTGTGTGTATACAGCGTCAGCATATGTAGTGTGTGTATACAGCGTTTGTACATGGAGTGTGTGTATACAGCGTCAGCATATGGAGTGTGTGTATACAGCGTTTGTATATGGAGTGTGTGTATACAGCGTTTGTATATGGAGTGTGTGTATACAGCGTTTGTATATGGAGTGTGTGTATACAGCGTTTGTATATGGTGTGTGTGTATACAGCGTCAGCATATGGAGTGTGTGTATACAGCGTTTGAATATGGAGTGTGTGTATACAGCGTCAGCATATGGAGTGTGTGTATACAGCGTTTGTATATGGAGTGAGTGTATACATCGTCAGCATATGTAGTGTCTGTATACAGCGTTTGTATATGGAGTGAGTGTATACAGGGTTTGTATATGGAGTGTGTGTATACAGCGTCAGCATATGGAGTGTGTGTATACAGCGTTTGTATATGGAATGTGTGTATGCAGCGTTTGTATATGGAGTGTGTGTATACAGCGTCAGCATATGGAGTGTGTGTATACAGCGTTTGTATATGGAGTGTGTGTATACATTGTTTTTATATGGAGTGAGTGTATACAGCGTCAGTATATGGAGTGTGTGTATACGGCGTGAGGATATGGAGTGTGTGTATACAGCGTCAGCAAATGGAGTGTGTGTATACAGCGTTTGTATATGGAGTGTGTGTATACAGCGTTTGTATTTGGAGTGTGTGTATACAGCGTTTGTATATGGAGCGTGTGTATACAGCGTCAGCATATTGAGTGTGTGTATACAGCGTTTGTATATGGAGTGTGTGTATACAGCCTTTGTATATGGAGTGTGTGTATACAGCGTTTGTATATGGAATGTGTGTATACAGCGTTTGTATATGGAGTGTGTGTATACAGCGTCAGCAAATGGAGTGTGTGTATACAGCGTTTGTATATGGAGTGTGTGTATACAGCGTTTTTATATGGAGTGAGTGTATACAGCGTCAGTATATGGAGTATGTGTATACGGCGTGAGCATATGGAGTGTGTGTATACAGCGTCAGCATATGGAGTGTGTGTAAACAGCGTTTGTATATGTAGTGTGTGTATACAGCGTTTGTATTTGGAGTGTGTGTATACAGCGTTTGTATATGGAGTGTGTGTATACAGCGTCAGCATATGGAGTGTGTGTATACAGCGTTTGTATATGGAGTGTGTGTATACAGCGTTTGTATATGGAGTGTGTGTATACAGCGTTTGTATATGGAATGTGTGTATACAGCGTTTGTATATGGAGTGTGTGTATACAGCGTCAGCAAATGGAGTGTGTGTATACAGCGTTTGTATATGGAGTGTGTGTATACAGCGTCAGCATATGGAGTGTGTGTATACAGCGTTTGTATATGGAGCGTGTGTATACAGCGTCAGCATATGGAGTGCGTGTATACAGCGTCAGCATATGGAGCGTGTGTATACAACGTTTGTATATGGAGTGTGTGTATACAGCGTTTGTATATAGAGTGTGTGTATACAGCGTGAGCATATGGAGTGTGTGTATACAGCGTCAGCATATGGAGTGTGTGTATACAGCGTTTGTATATGGAGTGTGTGTATACAGCGTCAGCATATGGAGTGTGTGTATACAGCGTTTGTATATGGAGTGTGTGTATAAAGCGTCAGCATATGGAGTGTGTGTTTACAGCGTTTGTATATGGAGTGTGTGTATACAGCGTCAGCATATGGAGTGTGTGTATACAGCGTTTGTATATGGAGTGTGTGTATACAGCGTCAGCATATGGAGTGTGTGTATACAGCGTCAGCATATGGAGTGTGTGTTTACAGCGTTTGTATATGGAGTGTGTGTATACAGCGTCAGCATATGGAGTGTGTGTAGACAGTGTTTGTAGATGGAGGACGGGTATAGGGTTCAGTAGATGGAGGGTTTTCACCGTTAGTACAAGGATTTCGTGGGGTTTTCTAAAGAATTAGAATTTTTTTGTCATGCTTGAGACTGTTGAAAAAAATTGCATTGTTGGAAGGTATTGTCTTTAAAAAGTAATTAGACCCACAGTTTTAATTAAAAACAATCTCCAGACAGTCCCCACCCCGTTCCTCTCCCCCACCCCCAGAATATCAACGTTCTTAAACGTTCAGGTTATTCACCGTGAGTTGAAATGAGAAACAGAAAATAATATGCATGGTCGTATTTGGTATCAAGTATAGTTGGGTTCTTCTCTTCAAAAGAAACAAGTTTTATATTTTCAGCATGCTGCATAAATAATCGTATTTATTACCCACGTGGTGAAGGGAAGTGTGACTGACTTCTGATTTTGTGGCCCCAAATATCCCAAATGTGAACAATAACACTCCCTATCTCTAGCGTAAAACGCCGTGAGTAGGCCTAGATCACGGTTGTCTTTTCTTATTCCGGTGGCGACCTTGCCCTTCGACCGTTCGAAGCTGTCACTGACATGCAAGCAGACTTGAGTTTGCTGATTTTCAGGTCTTCAGTATAGGATGGTAGAGTTAACATTAATGTCTTTGGCGAACACTCTGCATTCCCTCTTCCAAAATGGTACGAACATGATATAAATTCAGCTGAGAGATCAAGGAAACCGAACCATTTTGATTGCACAGACGGGACACCGACAGTGCGAGTGACCGACTGTAAGTCCGATATTCAAAGCGCGACGCTAATGGGACTTTTTATATTTTCATATCGGTGTCCTTCGTATAAACAACATGGCGCTTGAATTACCATTAGTTGAAGAATTTCTTCCAAAAGGATCTTGAGCGTCGGTGCTGTTATGTTTGCAAACATAATTGCAGGGGCATGTTGTTAATGCGTATCCATAGAAATGTCAACAATGCCCATATTTGGGCATATATCAATATTCATGCGCAACCAGATTTGGCAACCGGTTTCAGTTTGGTCGGTCAACGAACGAAAGTTGTTATGTATTTACACTTAAATATATATTTAACGTGGGTAATAAATAAAATACCACACTCATTCTCATGAATGAGTGTAGTATTCTCTATATATGTCATACCATCATAGCTATTAATCCATTGCAATTGCAGATTGTAATCCAGAATGAATGCTGAATGCATATGGATCTTTCTGGACGATTCCAATCTGTGGATAGAAGCCAAAAAGGCAAAAGGTGACGATTTCAAGAGAAAAGAGTTCAAAGAAGACCCTCGCTTGAGAATAGAATTTGGAGAGTTGGCTACTTTCATAAGCAATGAAAGACAAATAAAAGAAGCAACATTGTATGGATCAGAGCCGCCACCAAGTGACTCAGTATGGGAAAAGGGGAGAGAACAAGGCTGGAAAGTAAACTTATCCCAGAAATGTCGCTGGTCAGGGAAAGAGAAGATGGTCGATACCCAAATTGTTGCTGATGTCACAGAATTAGTTTGTGACCCCAAAAACCGGGAACATGGATCTACGGTTGTTATAGTTAGCGGTGACAAAGACATGTATCCGTGCATTGAGAAAGCTATGGCAAGACAATGGAATGTAGAAGTTTGGGCAATGGAAAATAGTTTGAGTGAAGGCCTGAAGAGTTTGAATAAACAAAACCAGTTCGTGAAAGTTCAGATTTTTTTAAAAGAAGATTTTGAAAAAATTACATATATCAAAGAAGAGTTTACTTACCACCAAGAAAGGAAAGATGATATGTTAAGCCGTGGGGTCGTGCTACAACAATGCCAGCGTCAAGGCGAGGAAAGGATAGATTTCATGGGTAGCATTAAGAATATTCTTGATAGTTTCAATTGGCCTTGGCAATATACGCGATTAAAGTCAGAGGCTGCTGTGAACATACTGATTCTGTTCTGTCGCGGACAAGGGGAATCTGACGATACGGATACTCCTTTAAATCGTTATAAGCCAGAATTAGAAAAGCAGTGCGTACCTAAATTATGCAAAGACGTTCTGACATACTTTCAATACGACAAAAGCGATAATCAGTACACAGCTCCTATTGAAACACATAACAGGTATGGCTCACTTCCGGGTGTTCAACATGCCGATGACGTGACAACCCCCTCCGCTGCCACTGACAAAATATCCGAAATTGCCTCTACCTTTGCCCAAGACAGTAATCCTGCTGGTACCTCTGGCCGAATATCACCTAGCGAGGCCACACAACGCGATGTGCCACCGGACATTACCCATCAACAAAGCCAGGATGCTGCAATTCCAGGAAAAAGTAGCGAAGAACCATTTAAGCTAGTTAGGTCCAAAAAGCAGAAAAGATACCAGCGGAGCTCTGACTTTTGTCAATTTCAATATCAGTGTGTCAAAGGTAAAAAATGTACACATAATCACAGAGAAGATCAAAAATTATTCTTTGAAAAGCGGAATAGATGTGTTGAAGATAAGCCCGCCTACTATGTGCGTACATACAAGACCTGCATATGTATGAGTGGTAAATCGTGCCAAAATCGAGATGCATGTGCTTATGCTCACAGTGAAGACGAACAGGTATGCTGTAAGTGCCATCTTCTAGGACATGCTACAGATAAATGTCCAAAGAATGCGACAGATCAAAAGAAGTGATCTGAACAAGTGCATACACTGTGAACTTATCCATGATAATTTGCATCAAAATTTGTATATAGTTTGTACATGAAACGTTTTTGTCTTAACCTGTACTATTCAGGAATCAAAACCGGATCTTCAGCATGACGAACCAATGAATTTACAACTAGGCTACCCTACCTCTCCTACAGGTCGTTGTTATATGAACCTAGATATGTTACACTGTGGTCAGCAGGGTGTGACAAAGCCTTTGAAAATTTAAAGTGCATTTTATATTCATATATACTTTGATGCGTATGCACATGCATACCTGATTTCTGCTCAAACCCGTATCCGGAGAAACGTACAGAGTAAACTGTATACAGGGATGGATGGGTAGCCTAGTGGTTTAAGCGTTTGCTCGTCACGCCAAAGTCCCGGGTTCGATTTCCCACATGGGTATAATGTGTGAAGCCCACATCTGGTGTCCCCTGCCGTGATATTGCTATATTGCCAAAAGCGGTGTAAAACCAAACTTACTCGCTCATTCACTCAATTGTGGTTAATGCGTTCGCACGCCACGCTGACGACGCGGGTTCGATTCCCCACAGGGGTATCTGTCATCGGGTCGTAAAACAAGTCTCATCACGTTCTCGTGGCCTAACCGCTTCCTTCTCCCCTAATTGCCCGGGATCGTCACCGTTCGGCTAAGTCCGGCGGTCGTCATACTCCGGTGTCTGTTCGTTCTTTGTTAGAGAATTGGTGACTCGTAAATTTTATTTTCTTTCTGTATAATCGCATACTTTTTGTACGTATTCATTTGATATATGTTATCTCATGTATGTTTGGTACCTTATTCTCATGTATAGAAAATGTTTTCAGTAACATTGATTTTCGCACAGTAGCGGGATTATCTAGTACTTGTAGATATTTCTCGTGTATTCATGGTCATATTTGCCACATCAATAATTGTACATAACGGTTGTAAATCACTAGTGGTACTGTTGGATAGCGTATCTTCAGCGCTATATTTTGGCATCTACATCTCCAATATTGGTTTAGTAGTTAGTTTACCATTTGGGTTTTTCCTGTGTTTGGAAACACATTTTGTTTAGCTCTGGTATAAGCTCTTGGCGAAGTATGCGTCTTCACCTCCAGGAATGGCTAGGCCGCCTTGCCGACCGTTTCGGTCAGGTCGAAACTTTGGTTTCCTTAGTAAGTGGTTATGGGGCAGTTTTCTCTCAGGTACCGATTTACTCTGGTGGTATTGAGCTAAAACGTATTGGCTAGACTTTTATATTTAGTACCCCGTATTTCTAGCAATCCTTGGATAACCAAATTTTCCGCGATTGTATAGTTTAGGCCAAGTACCTATTTTGGGAGTTAAGTTACTCTTTTGGTCAAGTATCCTTTTTTTAATAAGTGTGATTCCAGATACTCCGTAGATCAAGTACTTTGTAATTTGGGGAAGTCTATTATTTCCTTGGCCAGTCTGAAACTTTAGTCTACACGACTAGTTTGCTATTCAGGCGTTTTCGTCTATTTCATTGTCCAAGAGATTTGCTTTAGGGATGTGACCTCAGTGTTATTATCTCCCTATTTAACGCCGTTGAGGTTAGTCACTAATTAGAGTGTTGAATTTAGGATAGGATAAGTTTTATTCCATGCTGAAAGGCCTCAGGCCCACAGTACAATTCTGTTTTCGGGAGTGGTTACAGATCCGATTAACAGGTCATATTCTAATTAACATAGCATGATAAATGAACATTGATAGATTTTTTAGAGTATCTTTATCAGTTGTTGACGTGATTGTTATAATTTTTTGTAGAGTGGGATGTACATAACAAGGCAGATCAATATATTTTCTTCTTAGGTGGTCTCATTTTGGACAAACTAACAGAAAATGAAACTCATCTTCAATCACATTTAAACCACATTGCTCACATATTCTCAATTCTCTGGCTAGGTTTCTATGCCTGCCTACTTCGATCCTAAGTCTATGAGAGCTGCATCTAAATTGTGCTAAACTTATTCTAAACCTTTTAAAGTTGATGTCAAACAAATAGTATTCTGGGGAAATCGTTATCTTGAAAAGCTTGTAATAATTGCATTTTTCTGAACTTAAAACATGCGAAGCCCATTCTTGTAAGTATATATCCTTAAGTCTTTGGCGTAAAGATACTAAAAATGTGTTGAGTTAATGAACTCTTAGTTGTTCATTGGTCGCAGCCGCCCTAATTTGTTGTTTATGCATCTTGTCAATTATCTTGTGTTGATTTAGCCACTCTTCTTTTTTATTACTGTTATACAGCTGCTTAGCTATAATTAACGTGTACTGTTGCTCTGATCCTATAAATCAGTGATCATTGTCAGTGTAAATTTGTTTTTTTATCTTTTATATTGTCATCTATTGGTACAGTTAGCCGAGAATAATAAAACTGTGAACTTTCACCACGTTTCCAATTATTACTTTATTCTTGTTTAATGACACGCTGGTCTCTGGAGCACCCTGTAGGTACACTGTGCGAAGCCTAATTTTGGTGTCCCCCATCGTGATATTATTGGAATATATCTAAAAGCGACGTAAAACCATGCTTACAAACTTACAAGCTTATATATGCTACTCAAAAGAAGTTAAGGAACCTCCGATTCTTTCTAATTGTCAGAGTTAATCTGTCATAACATGACAGATTAACTACAGTAATATAAAAGAATCTGGTGTTCTTTAACTTCTTTTGAGTAGTATACATGCCGCCGTGATACATAACACGCCTTGCGGAAAATCTATTTCTGTTCATACGCAAAAACAACTGTCTGTGATAATCTTTTGGTAGTCGTTTAGGGAAACAAGAATGATATAAATTAGGATAGGTCAGTTCAATAACAGTAGACGCCATTGATGAACACATCAATGAATACTTTTTAAATAGGTTGAAGAATACAATAATAGAATCCATGTGATATTGTCGATAAAAGTAAGGATAGGATCAGTCTTATAGGAAAGGGTTTTCTGAATTAGGTTGCAAGTGATGTAGTCAGTTCCTTTACAGTGCAACATAATGCTCATTTGGAGGACAAAACAACTATCTTTTGTCTAACCATATAATTTGTTCTAAACACCCAGATGTATAAAAACAAGGTGACTGAATTGGGTGAGAGGCACTATATCCAGAGGTTTTGTAGCAGATGTGTACATGTTGATTTTTCAGGTAATTGATAAAACACTTCCCTACAAATAATTTTTTTCGTTATGTTTTTGGTCACTCTGAATTAGATACGAAACATTCTCTGGCAGAAAATATGGGATCGACTTTTTACAGACATGAACTGATAAATATAGAATACTAATAGAGCTCCCGTGTAATACCAATTTTATGAAACGAGAGAATAGTTCTGGTATCTGACGAGCAAAAGCGAGTCAGATACCACAACTATTCACGAGTTTCATAAAATTGGTTTTACACGGGAGCGAGTTTAGTATTTTATTTATTACTGGCCATTTATAACGTTTTTAGAATTATACTGTTGAGTGTGAATAGGTTGACACCTACACGATCCACGGCATAATCCAACTGTGTTAAACACAGCAATACTTCAAATACGTCAAAAGTTGAAACGTATGAATTTAATACCATCCAATGGTCCACAATTAGAAGTCGGGTGTCCGTTCCACAAAATTATCGTAGCGTTAAGGTTATCGCAACTCCTATACTTTAATTTAGACCACGCTACCGTCGCGCTACCGTACGATCGCCTTGCAATCTCGTTAAAATCAGATCTTAGTTCTCGCTACCGCTAAACAATTAGTTCTCGAGAACTAGCGAGAACTAAGATCTGATTTTAACGAGATTGCAAGGCGATCGTACGGTAGCGCGACGGTAGCGTGGTCTAAATTAAAGTATATGAGTTGCAATCACGTAACAATACCCGATGACGTAATTTGTGGAATTTTGTTGCAAGATCCTTCGGCGAAACAATGCCATGTGACGTCAACCTAGGTACAAGGTTGCTGGGGTCATCGAGTGTGCATAAGCTCCTCTCAGTGATCCATCATCTCCACACGCAATGTCGTTGAATAAGCCAAGGGATGTTGAGAGCTTTCAATGTTTGTTAGAGAAACGTGTTCCGAGAGTACATAAGCACGCGTTTTGGTATTACACAATGTGTAATACTGCTGTATGTTTATTAAACGGGAGATCTCTTTACGGGCAAGTAATAAAACGTTTATATGATACAGGACAAAGCTGTAAATTTATTCTGCCCGGCGACTTAACGCCATAAACCAAGAGTATACATGACTTTATATTAGATGGATCCGACTATCTACCTGTTGACGCTGACAATAGATGATTTTGACCATCCCCGTCATTCTTGTGATCAACGCGACAACTCTTATGGAAGATGACATCTGCAAGTTATTTTGAATTCACATAGTTAATGGGAGATTTTCGTCTGACAGTCCGAGTACCTTTACGTTATTCTCGTCATATAGATGCACATGCCAATTGTGTGTTCGATAACTGTGACGTGTTTACGAGTAAGCAAGTTGAACAAATACGTACCAGTGCGCCTCTATTATCAGAATCAATGTATAAACTTCCCGATGCCATGTTCAGAAGATTTTAGCAAATACAAAAGATTTCAACTTTAACATAATAATTTATGCTGCGTGAGTTTGATACTCTACTCGAAGAGGATATCAATCGGGCAATTGAAATTATCTGATATTGTGCTAGGTCCTGTGTCAATTCTGCGACGAGATTTGTGCCTTCCGATAGCAAAGTATGGATTGCAGCTACCATAGTTTGATCATCAATGTAGACAACTGAAATCGGCCAAATACCGAGCGCTTTACAAATATAGAAAATTCAAATGTGAAGTTTGAATTAATTTGAAGAAATGGGTTGTCTTAAATAAGTAAATAGATAAGGAGTTAAAAAGAAGCAGCTTGAAAGTAATGATCTGAAAAAAGTAATAGTGCCGACATGAGTAATGCTGTGAACGTTTCTGGGGGGCAATAAAAAAATCCTATTGCATCGGGAGACTGGTTCCAGCACTTCAATGGGCTACTGAACGCCACCGTGGTCTAGTGGCAGAGCCTCAGCCCGGAGAGAGGAAGGTCCGGGGTTCGTTAAAAGATGGAACTAGTTGTTACCCTGTCTGGCGCTCGATATTAAGGGGCTAAAACAAGGACTGGTCGGCTCGGAGTCAGTATACTGTGTCTGAGTAGGGTATTCATGTTAAACTGCGGCATGGTATCTCAGTGTGCTAGCACTATAAATCGGCATCAGTCCGGACTACAAGCAGCCACACAAACACACATACATGCACGTCGCTATATAAGTGCAATAATCTTGGACGCGACGTTAAACCCCATTTCAGCTCACCTCAATGGGCTACTTAACCTTGAACTTACTTCAGCTCCTACTGACTTTGACCTTGATAAGTACTTAACAAATTCTATTCATAATTTTCTTTTGTGCATTTCTGCATTAATAATATTTTAACAGATAATATTCTAAGCGGAACTGTAACAAATGGAGAAATTACTGAAGGAATAAAGGCATGAAAGCGTGGCAAGCCGCAGACGACGGTATTCACAAGGAATTTTACATCATTTCATAGACAGACAGACAGATATTTTATTTTCGTCTCACCGCTGTACATCATAAAAACATGCATGAAATAGATGTTTATACCTAAAAATAATAATACAGCGCCACTCATATAAAGTTATGAGAGACGATACACGTAAACTTGATGATACATACAGAAAAAAATGTTTTACCCCTATAGCAATATCTTTCTGCGATTGATATTAAAAAGCAGGTTTTGTCAGTGACATATACCTCATGTTTAAAAAGGACACACAATTCTCATTGTTTGAGAGGTTTAAAAAGCTGGACATTATACTCGTAAATAGTGTAGATCTTTGATAATCGTAAAGTGGACATTGGAAGAAAGCATGTTTTTAATCTTCAAGATGATCATTACCATTAAAGCACACTCTGTCTTCAACCTTTAAATTAATATATCTGATGTTTTCGATTCTTAAAAATGCAATATCACATCTGAATTTTGTAAAGGCAGATCTGTAACATCGGGGAATATAGCTCTTGACACAGTTTTCACAGCAATAACATATGGAATTTGCTTGTACCAGAATATATCTTTCCATAAAAGATCCTGACAGATTTTCAGATATTTTTCCATAAGGACATCTTGTATTTTGCTGGAAATATATTTCGTATTTAAACCAGTGGTGATGTTGAATATACGCAGTATGTTTAGGTCGGCCAATTTTGCCGAAAAACGTGAGTTCCAGTTCTTGTGATTGGCTGCCTGCCTTTCCGCCCATAAAAATACATGTTTATTTAATCGACCAGGTATATTTCACTGTCTAGCGATACATATCCACTGTCTGACACTCGGAGGTATCCACTCTGAATCCCCTTTAAGAGCCAAATTAGGTTCATATCTGCCCACGCCAAAAATAAACCTGATAGCCTGGCGGTGTACCGCATTAACAGCAGATGCATCACAGTTACCCCATACAGATGCGCCGTAACTAAGGGCAGACCACACCACAGTGTCATATAACTAAGAAAAAATACTAAAATGTATACCTCCGATTGTCTTAAACTTAATACTAAAATAAGTAGGCCTAAAGCTCTGTTAGCTGAATATCTAAAGTTATCAGCCCTATCGTGGACCCATGTAAATCTGAAAGATTCTTTAATAATTTGATTACTTTTAATCTATTCAGTTGTGTGAAACGTACGTAAATCCATTGTGAGTGGAAGATGTGACGACTCAGGACGTGAGCTGCTGCATATATTAAACAATTCAGATGAACATATTATATAATCAACCACGCTAGCAACTTGATTTCCTATAAAAGTGAAAACCCCTACACCCGCATCTGATCCACATCTTCCATTCATAATATGGATGTTAAGAATACTGCACATATCTAACGAGCATTTACCAAACCTGTTTATAGTCGAGACCGCCTCCGTGGTCTAGTGGTAGAACGTCCGCCCGAACGCGTCATACCAAAATACGTTAAAAGTTGGTACTTGTTAAACCCCATTTCACCTCACCTGTTTATAGTCCAATCTACCGAAAATCGTTTCATGTTAAAACTATCCAGCAAACACTCCCACATGTTATTATCATTGCCTTCCAAGTATTCAAGGATATCGTCTTCAACAAAATCAGGTAGTGTGCCAGTCCTAGAGTTGAAATCACCTCCGATGATAACATACACATCATCAGATTTAGAAAGCGCATGCAACAGATCATCTTGTAATAGTCTGATGCCGTTTTTACATTGACGTAACGGATTATTATACCAGGCTGAAGACTCCGGGTGAATATATTCACTTGCATATAATAGGTCATTCTTTAAACCACATACACCCTTATCTAGTAAAATAAATATACCACTATCACACACTTTGGTCCACTTTACAAGATGTGCTAAAGTGTTTCTGATTAATACTGTTACTCCACCTGAGAGACGACCCCGAGTTGATATCCGCTCATCATTTGTGTAGATAGTAAAATCCCTGAATAAACCACCCAAATATGTCAACCATGTTTCAGTTATCCCGACTATATCAAAACTGTTAACAAAGGTAATAAATTCACAATCGTCCACCTTGGATTTTAGTCCAGAAACGTTACAGAAGTTAAATTTTATGGACCCAGTCAACAAAGGGGAAATTGTAGGTGAAACTGTATGAAACACCCTACAATCATCTTGGCCCGGGCCACCCCCGATCAATTGTTTGTTGGTTGGTTTGTTTGTTTGTTGTTTTAAGCCGCACTCAGCAATATTCCAGCTATATGATGGCGGTCTGTAAATAATCGAGTCTGGACCAGACAATCCAGTGATTAATATCATGAGCATCGATCCACGCAATTGGGATCGATGACATGCATCAACCAAGTCAGCGAGCCTGACCACTCGATCCCGTTAGTCGCCTCTTGCGACAAGCATAGTCGCCTTTTACCGCAAGCATGGGTTGCTGAAGACCTATTCTACCCCAGATCTACATGGTCTATTGCCGCTGTGAACAGTGTTCAAAGACGTTTCAGATTCATATAAGATAATCCAGCAACATGACACAGATCACAAATGTTTCTTCCCTTGTTCAAACAGACAAGCATACACAAGGTGCTGACAAGTCAAGGACCATAGCCAGGGTGAATTTGGGATTCGAATCTATGATCACCGGATCCTTGCACGCACATTGAATTACAGCGCCTTGGATCACTGGGCCTTGCGTGCTTCCCATAAAGTCTTGTTTGAACACATCCCGGGAATTCTCGCAACCAGCACGTATGAACACTTCACAATTCAAGATATTTCCAGACACGTCATTTCTCAGAAAAGCCATTTCGATACGTGACGTATTTTATCAGTAGCAGTATAAATTGACCGTGCGTCTTTTTAGAAGCTCATTCAGACTTGGAACATGGTGTCAGTATATTAAATGCAGCACTCGCCTTCCTAATTACCTGGATTTTTCCGATGTCGTAAGTATGCCGTTAATCGTTTATACCGTAAATTATATTATTGAACGAGAAACAGGGTGAGGCATTGAAACAGCCATTGCGCCGTGAAGCCCAGGACAGTACTACGAGAGTAATGCTGTAGAAGTGAAAGCATGAATTAAGTTAAAATTAAACTGATGAATTTCAACTATAAATCAGGTTTATCAGGCGTCTGAATGAATATTTAGCCCCAACGGCTGGGCTGACCTCGTATGTTATTACAAGATAGATGTCTTGCTTGACAACGGTATAAGGATCTATACCGAAACGTCGCTTTTCACAGTATTAAAGAAGTTGTTATCCATAAAAAATTGTGTCTATCTTGTCATCCGTCTACTTCTAAGTAATGCCTATCAAACAATTCGTATGTTATTGGAGGGCTCCACTTATAAATACATCATTGTATCCAATATATCGATTTTATACATGCAGGTCAAATCATACAGATGCATTAGGATTGTTAAAGTACAAAAGGATTAGGCACATCAGTGATAAACACATTTCTGAAAATGGAATGCGTAGATACCGTATCGTGGATAGCGCTTTGCATTTCTAGGAAAAGGCCAGTCACGTTCCTTACATGGAAAGAGCTTATAACGACTGTTTACGTAAAGCATTCGTATCATCTATAAATATCACGTACATTTTGTGATCGGCCGTTTCCTTTCTGCAATGTTGAACCCTAACTACCGCGACAAATCTGTTAACATTCAGTGAACGCCCGCCCTTAATTGCACAGCGCACGGAAACCATTGTTAAGACTTTCAATTCAGAAAGTAAACGTCATTTCTAAGAAGTTCCAGAGGCGATCTTCAGAGAAATGCCACCCAGGCAGACGTTATTTTCTCTTTTGTGTGTCTGCAGGACGACGCGCTTTGAACACGGAACAAGTGTCTGTGTGTTGGTTGGGGTAGGGGTGTCTGTGTGTTGGTTGGGGTAGGGGTGTCTGTTTGTTGGTTGGGGTAGGGGTGTCTGTGTGTTGGTTGGGGTAGGGGTGTCTGTGTGTTGGTTGGGGTAGGGGTGTCTGTGTGTTGGTTGGGGTAGGGGTGTCTGTGTGTTGGTTGGGGTAGGGGTGTCTGTGTGTTGGTTGGGGTAGGGGTGTCTGTGTGTTGGTTGGTGTAGGGTTGTCTGTGTGTTGGTTGGTGTAGGGGTGTCTGTGTGTTGGTTGGGATAGGGGTGTCTGTGTGTTGGTTGGGGTAGGGGTGTCTGTTGGTTGGTTGGGGTAGGGGTGTCTGTGTGTTGGTTGGGGTAGGGGTGTCTGTGTGTTGGTTTGGGTAGGGGTGTCTGTGTGTTGGTTGGGGTAGGGGTGTCTGTGTGTTGGTTTGGGTAGGGGTGTCTGTGTGTTGGTTGGGGTAGGGGTGTCTGTGTGTTGGTTGGGGTAGGGGTGTCTGTGTGTTGGTTGGGGTAGGGGTGTCTGTGTGTTGGTTTGGGTAGGGGTGTCTGTGTGTTGGTTGGGGTAGGGGTGTCTGTGTGTTGGTTGGGGTAGGGGTGTCTGTGTGTTGGTTGGTGTAGGGGTGTCTGTGTGTTGGTTGGGGTAGGGGTGTCTGAGTGTTGGTTGGGGTAGGGGTGTCTGTGTGTTGGTTGGGGTAGGGGTGTCTGTGTGTTGGTTGGGGTAGGGGTAGGGGTGTCTGTGTGTTGGTTAGGGTAGGGGTGTCTGTGTGTTGGTTGGGGTAGGGGTGTCTGTGTGTTGGTTGGGGTAGGGGTGTCTGTGTGTTGGTTGGGGTAGGGGTGTCTTTGTGTTGGTTGGGGTAGGGGTGTCTGTGTGTTGGTTGGGGTAGGGGTGTCTGTGTGTTGGTTGGGGTAGGGGTGTCTGTGTGTTGGTTGGGGTAGGGGTGTCTGTGTGTTGGTTGGGGTAGGGGTGTCTTTGTGTTGGTTGGGGTAGGGGTGTCTGTGTGTTGGTTGGGGTAGGGGTGTCTGTGTGTTGGTTGGGGTAGGGGTGTCTGTGTGTTGGTTGGGGTAGGGGTGTCTGTGTGTTGGTTGGGGTAGGGGTGTCTGTGTGTTGGTTGGGGTAGGGGTAGGGGTGTCTGTGTGTTGGTTAGGGTAGGGGTGTCTGTGTGTTGGTTGGGGTAGGGGTGTCTGTGTGTTGGTTGGGGTAGGGGTGTCTGTGTGTTGGTTGGGGTAGGGGTGTCTTTGTGTTGGTTGGGGTAGGGGTGTCTGTGTGTTGGTTGGGGTAGGGGTGTCTGTGTGTTGGTTGGGGTAGGGGTGTCTGTGTGTTGGTTGGGGTAGGGGTGTCTGTGTGTTGGTTGGGGTAGGGGTGTCTGTGGGCATGGAACATTTTGATATATACAGTCTGTTCTAAAAAATGCTGGAAATGTGGTTTAACCCAAAAAATGAATTTCGCAGCCAAAAAAATGCAGTTTCCGGTATCCGGATCCCTTTCGGATACCCCCGGACACCTACCCAAAACGCATCCGGGTATCCGGTGGCAGATACCTTGCCGGGTACCAGATCCGTGGTATCCGGCATTGGACACCAGTACCTCACCGGGAAGCATGCCTCCTGGAATCCGGGTATCCGACACCGGATACCTCAATCTGGGTGTCAAAAGATCCGGCACTGGATACCCCATCGGATACCCCTTCTGAGCTTAAAAAAATGGCACAGATTGGGGGGTGTATTCTGTTCAATAAAGTGTGAAGCACCTAAAAATATATTTGAAACTAACCAAGAAATTTGAACATTGCTGAAGGTATCCGGAAGGTATCCGGCAAGTATTCGGATGCAATTTTTCGAAATGTCTTTTTTTTCTAGTAAATTGTTTTAGCCTGGGCATATCAGATAGCTGTAGTGATATTCTGTTTTATTTTAGTTGTAAATATCCCCTTAAAGTTGAAATCTTATAAGCATGTGCTTTTGGTGAAAACATTTTTTAATTTCATATATATTTCACTTTAGATCATTGAACATGCTGAGAGTTCTGAAAATAACTAGCAAGAAGTACTGTTTCAGTTTAGTTTAAATCTCTATTTCTGTACGTGAGGCCAGTGGCCCATACAAAAGAAGAACATTGTATTACAGCAATATAGCAAAGACATCAGGTTGGCACACGTAATGAATAAAGACTTTATTAGAGATAAGAGTTACAAAGGACTAAAGAACATTTCAGGGCCGGGTGATACTGTTCTCCAAGACTTTGATAAACTGGACAAATCATGACAAAATGAAACTCATCCTCAAGGTTATGTAAATCACAGAGAACACATAAATGCCAACTCTCAATAACACCAATGTTATCTTTCTTGTTACACCTGTACAGATTTTGTCAACTCGCGACGATATAAGCAAAAAAATGTGTGTGGTTATACAGACTGTCTAACTAAAATAAATTATGTAATAGCATGGAGTAGAGGTGAGGTGAAATGGGGTTTAACGTCGCGTCCAAGATTATTGCACTTAAATAGCAACGCGCGCACGTGTGTGTGTGTGTGCGCGCGCGCACTAATCCTAGTACTAGTCCTAGTTTCCTAGTCCTACTTTGTACTAGTACTTTGTACTCTGTACTAGTACTTTGTACTAGTACGTTGTTCTAGTCCACTAGCACACTGAGATACCATGCCGCAGTTTAACATGAATACCCCACTCAGACACAGTATACTGACTCCGAGCCGACCAGTCCTTGTTTTAGCCCCTTAATGCCGAGCGCCAGACAGGGTAACAACAAGAACCTTCTTTAAACGTCTTTTGGTATCGAACCCCGGGCCTTAGAGATACGTGTGGTTTGGGAATAAATCCTCTTTGAAAGGTAGCTGATCATGAGTCAGTAACATTGCTAGCTGTCGTCTAAATGTGAAATAAAATAAAATAAAATAGAAAAATTGATTTTTGCAATATATCCGATTTCACATCGAGATGTTATCGTCACAATCATGGTTGAAAGATTTCATCATTCGTGGCCAGTCATGGTTTTTCATAACAGCAACAACAAACAACAACATTTATGTGTAAAGGGAAAACCGAAACGTGACAAGTATAAACTAGAAATGTATTAACTTACGACAATTAAGAATATTATCGCAATTGAGCCACGTTGCGTGATATGAATCATAAACATATAGATTATTATATGTACATAGTGTAAAGTTTCGTTGAACTACTAGCAGTGAGAGTAGCTATGACAACTAGACCATCACGTCTTTGTTGTAGAGACGAGTCACCGTTACAGCCGATCGATCATCAAAATCAATTGGATAGCGTCATTTTGCTATTTTCAATGTCTTGTTCAGCGAATCCAGATCACAGCTAGCTAAAACTGACAAGCAAAATATTCACTTCAGCCCGTCATGTTTCAAACAAGACACTGGCTTCAAGTAAAAAGTAACCAGTAGCAGGAGGTGAATAAACCTTAATAAAAAAATGAGGTAAATTGAAAACTTGAGAGAGGGGTCACAATAGTTTTTGTTTGGATATTGAATAGATAATAACAATGCAAGGCAAAGCACAAGGGGTGAAGAAACGGTTCTCACTACCTCCTTTTATGGTTAATGTTAATTGTGGTTCAAGTGTATTACCGATGGGACCACAATATAAGAGTATATAAGGCTGTATATTTTACATTTGCTGGTGGGCAGGAACAAAAAGGTTAGGCCTTGTTTGGTAGCTGCATTTCAGTTAAGAAAAGAATACACACTTGCTTGAAAACACCCTTGGTGACGTTGTACAAGCAACCTTAACACTACGGTGTAGGTTTGTGTTACGGTATGAGAGGTACGATGACCTAAGCGTTAAGATCATTTTGTACAAAGGCACACTGATCTCTGTAAACCGAGACGTCTTTCACCTGCAGCTTTAACACCAGCTCAAGGTAGCCTTCACCCGGATCCTTCAGTGAATGCCCCTTTGAGATACTGTGATTTGATATGTTTCTTTGTTGTGTAGCGCAGCAATATAAAGCTGATTACGTTTCAACAATTGCATGTTGTGATTTTTGGATTGTGAAAGCTAGCACGAGTGGAGCAGTTTATTGCAGCATTTGTGAAACTCTC